CTGAAGGGCGAGGACCACGACCGCATGTACGTGGGCAGCAAGGACTACGTGCTGTCCCTGGACCTGCACGACATCAACCGCGAGCCCCTCATTGTAAGGGCGTGGGGCGGGGCGGGGGGGGGGGCCGCCGCACACGCCCCCCTGACCCCCGTCTCTGGCAGATCCACTGGGCGGCCTCCCCGCAGCGTATCGAGGAGTGCGTGCTGTCCGGCAAAGACGGCAAGGTGCGTGCAGGGGCCGGGCCGGGCCGCCGCAGGTGTGGGGCGGTACCTGGCACCTACACAGCCTTCCCTGTGGCCCCAGGGCGAGTGTGGGAACTTCGTCAGGCTCATCCAGCCCTGGAACCGAACGCACCTGTACGTGTGTGGGACGGGCGCCTATAACCCCATGTGCACCTACGTGAACCGCGGCCGCCGCGCCCAGGTAAGCCCCGGCCCCGGCTCCCGCTGCCCCGCAGCTGCACCCCAGAGTCCTGCAGGAGGACAGGCTCGCTGAGTCCCAGCCTGGCCGCCACCCAGCCCTCAGGCCTTGGTGAGTGACTTCCTCCACCATGCAGGGCCTCAGTTTCTTCACTTGAAAACGGGGCCGACTGCCCTTCTCACAGGTTGGTGTGAGGCGGGGCAGCAAGCCCGTGCCCCCAAAGCTCTCAGTATGGTGCCCGGCACGCTGTGAGCCCTCGCTCACGGCAGCAGTGCTCTCTGGCTACGCCTGCGGCCCAAGCCCGTGGCTCGGTCAGAGACCTGGCAGGGCCCCTACGTCAGGAGGCTGGGCGCCTGGGCCAGCTCTGCCCATTGCCCTCCTCTCCACGTCCCGGGCTGGGGGGAGCTGCCCTGCCCCAGCTCTGCCCGCCCCACCTGCTTCTGCCCTTTCCATTTCCACGTGCATGTGTGTGTGAGCTGGTGACGTCGTAGGGCACGTGTGAGGGAGAATGGACCTAGGGACATGTGTGTGCCGGTGTGTGTGAAGCCTGTGTGTGTGTGTGTGTGTGCACGTATGTGCATACCTGCCCTGGGGCACCTGTGTGCTCTTGCGTGTCCTGGCCTGTGTGGTATGAGAGGCTGGCAGCCCAAGCCCGCTCCCCCAGCCCCTGCCGCCCCCAGCTCTAACCCCTGTCCCCCGTCTTCCAGGCCACACCGTGGACCCAGACGCAGGTGGTCAGAGGCCGCGGCAGCAGAGCCACGGATGGTGCCCTCCACCCGACGCCCACGGCCCCACGTCAGGTGGGCTTCTTCCCTCCAGGCCTTTCCAGGCAGCACTGCCTCCGAGCTGGACCCACCTGGGCCTGCAGCCCGGGCTGGCTTCCCCGGGCCCTCCCTCTGCCTCCAGGCCCCGCCCTGTGTCCACCCCTCCCCTACAGTGCCCTCAGGTTGAAGGCATGCCCAGCTGGACCCAGGTCAGCCCAGTGTGACCCCTGCAGGCGAGACATGAAGCCACCAGGTGGGGAAGACAGGAGCACTGGGGACAGCCATGCCTCAGCCCTCAGATCACGTGTGTGTAGACGTGCACGAGCACACACCAGCGAATGCCCGGCACCCCTTTCTTAGCACCGAGCGGGGCCCCTGTGCAGCCTGACACTCGTGTCCATGCCCAAGCCACCCGTGGCTCACCGGGGGGCACAGGTGTGCTGCACATGTGCGTGCTGGGGCCCTCTTCCCTTGGGGTGCATCTGTCCACTAGTTAGGACCTGGGGCTGGGCCGGGAGAGCTGGGGCTGGGCCGGCGCGGGCAGGGAGGCAGGGGCTGCCGTGAGTGACAGAGCGCGTGTCCATGGTGGGCAGTGCTGTAGAGCAGGGTCGCTGTGACCCTGCGTGTGCGTCCCGTTGTGAGCAGGGATCCGTGTGCTGGCAGTGCTGTGTGCCGAGCTGCGTGTGCAGGAAGTTGTGTGTGCGCGTGTAACCAGAAGTGGGTCTGTGTGCACCTGCCCATCACCATCCTGTCCCCTGCTGCCTCCTCCCGCCTCTGAGCCCTCCCTTCCCTTCCCCTCCCCTCCCCTCCCCTCCCCTCTCCTGCCTTTCCCGTGAGCTCACCCTGGCCCAGCGCCTCCACCACCTTCCTCGCAGCATCGTCCAGGCTGAGCTGGGAGGCACGAAGGGCTTTGTGATTTCTGTGTGGTCTGGGTTGGACTCAACTTCTGACTCCCCGGGGGGGTTGGTGGGGCCTGGGGCTCGCTGAGGGGCAGGAAGAAGGCCATGGCCTACCAGTCCGTCGTGAGAACCACAGGCGGGGCACAAAGCCCAGGGAGCTCCCTAGCCTGGTCAGGCCTGATGGCAAAGAACAGGGCCACGCAGGCCCTGACCAGTGCCCCCTGACCTGGCCAGGTCTGCAGCCCTACTTGGTCCAAGACAGACCGCCACGGTCCAGAGTTGTGCCCCTGTGGCCCAAGGCGGCTTGGCCAGCATCTTCCTGAGCCAGCCGGTGGACAGATGTCAGTCCCTACGAGCCCACCCCAGGCCGGCCATTTTATGGCCCCCGTGGTGGGGCCCTCCGAGACTTGGTTCCCAGGTCTTACCTGAGACCTCCCTCGGAACCCGCAGTGTGGCGCTCTCCGGGGGCATCAAGATGGACAGAGTTCGAGCCTCAGGAGCTCTGGAGAGGGCAGGGGAGGGCGGGTTGTCCTGGGATCCCGAGGCCCCTTCCTTTCTCGGCCATGGACGGCGCTGAGCCTGCCTCTGCCCTGCAGGATTACATCTTCCACCTGGAGCCTGACAGACTCGAGTCAGGGAAGGGCAAGTGCCCGTATGACCCCAAGCTGGACACAGCCTCAGCCCTCATCAGTGAGTGCCCGCCCTCAGTCCCGCTGTGGCTCGGAGTGGGGGACATAGTCCAGGACAGGGACGGTGACTAGAGTGCCCCTTTATCCCTGGTAGTGCCCCAGCATCAGGGGTGCGAGTCAGACCCCTGTTGAGCTGAGGGGCAGGGACTAGCTGATAGGAGTCTCCCCACAGCCCCTCCAGGTGAGGGCATCCTGCTCCAATCACAGCGTGGTCCGTGTAAAGCTCAGAACCACACAGCTGCAGCCTGCCTGAAAGACAAGCCCAGTCCACACTGGGCGTGGCCTGGGTTTTCTCCCATGTTATGGGGGGCTGGGAGGGGCCCACAGGAGCCACTGATGGAGGGTCTGGGCCTGTGACCAGCCAGGGATGGCAGCGTTTCTGGTCCGGGCAGGTGTATGGGAGTTGGGGCTGTTCTCTGAGGAGGGCTCCTGTCCAGGGTCTGTGGGGCGGCTGCCCCCACCCTGCACGCTGCCTGCTTTCTGGGCACTGTGCCACCTCTAAGCCTGGGAAAGGCCCCAGGGCAGAGGGCAGCCATCCCTCTTGGTGAGGAAGAAGTTCCGAGCCTGATCGCAGAGCCCGGACCAGGGAGTCTGATGGGCGAGGTCACAGCCTGCCCTGGGGCCCTCTCAGCGAAGACGTGGAGTAGAGTGTTGGACTCAGCTCCGCTGCCCGATTTTCAGGAGTGTCTGTGAGCCAGCTAGTATTCAAAATGAAATTTTAGGGGCCAGCAGGTGGTGTGGTGGTTAAGGTGCTGAACTCCCACATAGCCAACTGGGTTGAATCCTGGACCTGGTAACTTGAAAATCATGCCGGCCTATGTGCATGCATGCCCAAAACCCCAAGAGAAGAATGGAGAAAAGGGGATTGCAGCGTGGCCATCCCCCATGGGGAGTGGTTTCCCATTTTCCCTGTCTGTCGCTGTCTCTCTCCAGCAAGCCCACGTACCCTATTGCAAAAAAAAAAAAAAGTAAACTTATACTTAATTACATTAAAGATAGCAATAGCAGAAAAGGTAACAAATACCAGTGACTCATTACCTATTACCTCCAAATTACTTACGACGGCTGTGGCTGTGTCATTACCGACGCTCTCCCCAGCTGGGCTCAGTGACCCACTCAGGTCAGTAGGCCAGGGTGGGAGTATTTACACCACAGAAAGTGGCTATTGCTTCTAGACAGGGCTTGTTACTACGCATCTAGTCCTCCCAGGGACAGGGCCAAACACCCTCCTGGAGATGCCATCCTGCCTTGGGGAGTCCGACGGGGAAGACAGGCCCTTTTCTGAGGGTCTTTTGGGCTGTGGGCCGGCCCTTGCGTAGAGCAGACCCCGACTGACCTGCCGGCACCCACAGATGAGGAGCTGTATGCTGGGGTGTACATCGACTTCATGGGCACCGACGCAGCCATCTTCCGCACGCTGGGGAAGCAGACAGCCATGCGCACGGACCAGTACAACTCCCGGTGGCTGAACGGTGAGCCGGGCGAGGAGGTCGCAGAGGACTGACCAGGCAGGGCCGGGTGCTGCCCAGAGGAGAGCTGTGCTTGCCTGGGATTCTGTCGGGGAAGTGGACACCCTCAGGAGGGGCTCACCCTGGCACCCCTGCCCGCCCGCAGACCCTTCATTCATCCACGCCGAGCTCATCCCTGACAGCGCGGAGCGCAATGACGACAAGCTCTACTTCTTCTTCCGCGAGCGGTCGGCAGAGGCGCCGCAGAACCCCGCCGTGTACGCCCGCATCGGGCGCATCTGCCTGGTACGTGCCCGGGGACCTCCGGCCTGCTCCGGCAGCCCTGCTCCTGCAGGGTCCTGGGCGGCGTGAGCTGACCCGCCCCGCCCGCCCCCCAGAACGATGACGGCGGCCACTGCTGCCTGGTTAACAAGTGGAGCACGTTCCTGAAGGCGCGGCTGGTCTGCTCCGTGCCGGGCGAGGATGGCATCGAGACCCACTTCGATGAGCTCCGTGAGTGCCCGGCGGGGGTGGGGCTCTGTGGGCACCCTGTCCCAGGCAGGAGCAGGCAGGGCCCCAGGCTCCTCCCTAAGGCGCCTCTGGTACCACCTTCTGTCCCCAGAGGATGTGTTTGTCCAGCAGACCCAGGATGTGAGGAACCCGGTCATTTACGCCGTCTTTACTTCCTCGGGGTGAGGCTGGGTCGGGCTACTGGGGATCCCTGCTGGGTGGGGCAGGCTGGGGAGGGCCCACTGGCTCTGCAGGGGGCGACAGCAGCCTGCCCCGCACGCAGCTCCGTGTTCCGAGGCTCTGCCGTGTGCGTCTACTCCATGGCCGACATCCGCATGGTCTTCAACGGGCCCTTCGCCCACAAAGAGGGCCCCAACTATCAGTGGATGCCCTTCTCGGGGAAGATGCCCTACCCACGGCCTGGCACGGTAAGGACCCCACGCCTCTTCTCCCCCCTATGAGCCTGCTCTGGGGCAGATGTGGGCCCACTGCACGGCCCTCCGGGCTGCCCGTAGACAGAAGCCCTCGCGCACACAGTATCAGGCTGGAAAGGCCCTGGCCGCCCTCCTGGCACAGAGATGGGGGTTGCCGTTTGCACTCTTCCATAGGGGCTCCCCGAGGGGCTGTCTGCGAGCTAACGGTGAAGGGGAAGGTCGTCTTCGAGGCCAAGCTGGAGGCAGGCTGGGAGGTCCACTTAGCTGGCCATCAGTAGAAGGAGTGGGAACGGCAGGCCTGGGCTGCAGGGTCTCAGCCGTGTCGAGGCTGTCACTATAATGACGGGACACGAGCCACTCCTGCAGCGGGTGCTGTCGACCCCATGTCGTCGGGTCGGGCTAAGGAAGCTGTACACACAGGTGTCAGGGAGGTGCCCCGAGGTGGACCTGGAGCGTTACAGGGACGTCAGGGCCCGTGGTCCAGTGCATGGGGCCGGGGTGAGGGTGAGATCGGAGAACAGCAGAGAGGAGGGAGACAGCAGGGTGGGATGATGTGGGGAGGGGGCGTTGGCCCTGCCAAATGCTGCGAGGTTGGCAACGAGGCCAGGGAGGCATTGCGGGGTCTGGCCATGAGGGATCTGGGACCTTGGCCTGAGCAGGACCTGAAGAGAGGTCAGCGCAGGGCAGTAGCCTGTAGAGGAGGTGGGGGCAGTGCAGAGGCCTCCGCAGCACTGGGTCTGGTGTGTCCCCGCCCTCCCACCCCCATCCCGAGCCGGGGCCTGATAGACGTCCCCTGCCTGCAGTGCCCTGGGGGGACCTTCACACCATCCATGAAGTCCACCAAGGACTACCCCGACGAGGTGATCAACTTCATGCGCAGCCACCCGCTCATGTACCAGGCCGTGTACCCACTTCAGCGCCGGCCCCTGGTGGTCCGCACGGGGGCCCCCTACCGCCTCACCACTGTGGCTGTGGACCAGGTGGATGCGGCCGACGGGCGCTATGAGGTGCCTTTCCTGGGCACAGGTACCCGCTGCCCGCCCCGGCCCCTCCCACCCCCGCCCGCGGGGGGGGGTGCTGGTCCCCGGGGCTGGGACCTGCTACCGGCTCGTCAGGGCCATCTCTGTCACCTCGTCCTTCAGAGCCTTCTCCCTACTGCTGGGATGACCAAGGCCTCCCCTCCCCATCCCCAGGAGCCTGGGAGAGTGGGAACATGAAAGGGGTGTGACAGGAAAGGGGTGGACACAGGCACAGACACCCCGAGGGCCCCTGGTTCAAGCACATGCTCGCGCGTGAACACACAGTGCGCCCACCACAGCCCCAGCCACCCCAGCCGCCCGGTCCTCTGCAGCCTCACAGTGAGGGTCTGGTGCCATGGTGGTCCCTTTGACCTCTCCCTCCATCCCCGGGAGCCCTTCACCTTGGCACAGAGCTCCTTCTCCGCTGCCCTGGGGGGTTGGGCCCTGGTGGGGAAGGGGCTGAGGCTGGTGCCCCTTCCCCAGTGTCCCCAGTCCCACTGAGGCCCTGCCCGGCCCGTTCCAGACCGCGGGACAGTGCAGAAGGTCATTGTGCTACCCAAGGACGACCAGGAGATGGAGGAACTCATGCTGGAGGAGGTGGAAGTCTTCAAGGTGGGTGTGACCACCTCGTCCTGGCCCTCTGGCCTTACACTTTAGGGCAGGGCAGGCGGTGGTCCCCAGGGTCCCACGCTGATTCCTGTCTTCTTCCAGGACCCTGCACCTGTTAAAACCATGACCATCTCTTCAAAGAGGGTGAGTCTTTGGTAAGGTGGGCTGCATGGGGGATGGAGCCTGTCCTGGCACAGAGGGGAAACTGAGGTGTAGACCAGGGATGAGGAGCCCGGCCCCACTGGCTGCTGGTGGGAGCTGGCTGTGGGGAGGGCCCTGACCAGCTGCCGCTCCCACCCCCAGCAACAACTGTACGTGGCCTCGGCCGTGGGCGTCACGCACCTGAGCCTGCACCGCTGCCAGGCGTACGGCGCTGCCTGTGCCGACTGCTGCCTGGCCCGGGACCCCTACTGCGCCTGGGACGGCCAGGCCTGCTCCCGCTACACGGCGTCTTCCAAGAGGTGCGGCCTCCAGCCCTGGGGACCTCAGCCCCCAGGCCCGGGCCAGTCCTGGTGGTTGGAGGTGGATGTGGTAGTCCCGGGGAGTCCGGCGGGAGGCATCATTGCCTGGGCACGTGGGCCCTGCCCTGGAGTCTCGGGGTGCAGGGCTCGGGCTGGGAGTACTTCCTGGACGCGGCCCTCAGGAGCTGTCCTCATTCAGGCGGAGCCGCCGGCAGGACGTCCGGCACGGGAACCCCATCAGGCAGTGCCGAGGCTTCAACTCCAACGGTGAGCACGCTAGGCCGACAACGCGGGCAGCCCACTGAGGATTCTGGGGGGCGGGAGAGTGGGAGCTTCCCCAGGCACAGCCCTGACTTCCCAGGGGGGCCCCTCGTGCCCCAGGGCGCTGCTCTCACTGCACCCCCTCTCGCCCCGCAGCCAACAAGAACGCCGTGGAGGCCGTGCAGTACGGCGTGGCGGGCAGCGCGGCCTTCCTGGAGTGCCAGCCCCGCTCGCCCCAGGCCACGGTCAAGTGGCTATTCCAGCGGGATCCCAGTGACCGGCGCCGCGAGGTAAGGCCCTGCACCCCAGCAGGAGGCCCTCGTGCAGCAGAGAGGTGTGTGGGCGATGGGGTGCCGGGGCCAGGCCGGGCTGCCCTGGCTCTGTGACACCTTCTGAGCGCCCCTCATATGGGCAATGCTCAGAGGACAGGCCTCGCTCTGTGGAAGGCACGTGCAGGTGTGCCCATCACGTGCAAGTTTTCCTCGGACGGACACGTCGTGTGGGCTGGCTCCCATACTGGGCGGGGAGCCTTGCGGGCCAGGCCTCATCTGATGGAAGTGCCTGGCAGGTGGCCTTGTTTACCTGGAGGTTCCCTGCGAGTGCCCCCCTTGGGCATTGACATTAAACGGAAATGCTGTGCACCCCAGAACACTCACAGAACCCCTGATGGCCATCCCTCCCGAGGCGGGAGTCCCTGTGGCCTCGTCACGTGGAAACTTCCTCCGGGAGTTCCAGCTCCAGCGTGTGCCCCTCCTTGCAGTGACCACAGGGTGGTCTGACTGGGGCTGGCTGCCCCTCGGCCCTGACCCCTCCCCGCCCCCCAGATCCGTGCCGAGGACCGCCTTCAGCGCACAGAGCAGGGCCTGCTGCTGCGCACCCTGCAGCTCGCCGACCGCGGCCTCTAC